TGGGAGGGTGGGTAGGTGGATGGATGGATGGATGGGTGGGTGGGTGTATGGCTAGGTGGATGGGTGTCTTTCCACCAGGGCTGCTGTGGAAGACCAATGCTGCAGTAGCAGTGACCTGGAAAGGCTGCATCCGCCTGGGCAGCGGTCCCAGGCTGCCCTGTGTGGGCCAGAGAAGACAGGTGCGGCGGGTGGAGCACCCTCCCTCCCCGCCAGCCCCACCGTCACCTGTTGCATCTCGTGCTCCAGCTGGAGGAGGCTCTCATCCCGCTCCTGCTTCAGGCTCTGAATTTCCTCTTTCAGAGCCTCCCTCTCGGATGTGCTTCTTGCCGCCAGCTCCTTCTCCTGCTCCAGCCGGCACGCAGCCAGCTCCTTCTCCTCTGCCAGGGCCAGACTCAGGGTTTCCTGGGCCAAGGAAAAGGGGTGGGCTTGAGGTCAGGGCACGTGAGACTGCCGGTGCCTGCGGCCCCGAGGGAGACCTGGCCCTGGGTCCTGGTGGCTGTCCAGTCCAGCCGCACCTCCTCGTCTTCCCCATGGGGACACGGGAGCAAGGAGGGTCTCCTGGTCTCAGCATCCACCATCCCACATTTGTCTGTCTGTGACCTGTTCCCGTCTCCACGGTGCGCCACTGATACGCAGGGGTGTGAAGACACATCAAACCAGGCCTCCGGGAGCGGGGACCCGTGGGAGGGCCCCTTCCAGCCCCAGCTCTCAGGCTGCAGCCAGGTCGGCCGACACCCGGTGTGGCCTCTCCTGGGAGGGAAGGGCCTGCCCCGAATACAAGCTCCAGGGCAGCCTGGACGCCCACTTCGACCGCAAGGGGTGTGCAGGTCCTCGTCCTCCCTCTGGCCCAGGCACCTCCACCTCTGAGCTCGGCCTCCCAGGGCCCCTCCCGCCAGGGGGCTGCCGTTCTGGGGACCTGGTAGGCTCCTGGCAAGCGACCAGGTGGGCCGCTGGGAAGCAGACCTTCTCCCGCTGGAGCCGTGCTAGGTCCTCCCGGTGGGCCAGCGCCTGTCTCTCCAGGGCCCTCTGTGCGTCCCGCTCCTGCTGCGCCACCTGCCGCAGCTGCGCCTCCTGGGCCTCCCAGTCGCTTCTCAGCTGCTCCGTTTCCACTGTGGGCGACAGGTGTGTCAGGGCGTGGCTCGTGCACGTGGATCCCCGTGCCCTTCGGATCTCCCCATGGAGTGACATGACCAGGCTCAGGGGCTGGGTGGCCAGCACTGCAGGGTGGGGCAGGAGCTACACACTGATCCTGTGGCCCAGCCCACTTCCGAGCCTCGGGCCAGAAGCAGCCTGGTCAGGGCGCCCGCCTGCCCCTCGCAGACGAGGGGTGGCCGCCTTGTGCAGCCACGTGAGCTCCAGGCCCATGTTGTGCCCCACAGGGTGTGGGGCTGGGAGCAGCGCGCGTGGGGACTGAGCTCCGTTCCAGCGGCCGCTGTGTGGCTGGCTGTGGGGGGCGAGGAACAGAGGGGGCCGCGTGAGAGCACCTTGCAAGGCCCGCTGAGCCAGCCGGGCGCTCTGGGCCTCTCCCGCCAGCTGCTCCTGCTTAACCTGTAGCTGCGTCGCCAGCTGTTGGGCCTCAAAGAGGCTGTTCTCCAGGGAGTCCCTCTCGGCCCTGTGGAGAGCACCAAACAACGGGCGTGTGGCCCACGAGGTCCTGCCTGCGAGGAACAGCGCAGAGCCCAGGCCGGGCTAGCGAATCAGAAAACCGACAGGCTGTCTCGTTCATTTAGAACCTCTGAGAATCAGTTAAATCCTACGTGAAAATATGTTTCAGATGGAACAAAAGGGTGAACTAAAAAACAAGTAAGAACAAAACAGCAGAAAAAATATAAAAGAATATTTTATAATCTTCTTAAACAAGACACAAAAGCCAGAAGACAAAAATAAAGAGGCCAACAGGTCTGAATACACTTAAAGAGAGGAAGGGGTAGAATTTCTGCAGAAAAGATTCCATAAACCAACTTAAAAGGGACAGAGTTGGAGGAAAATCTGCACTAAATGTACAAAGGGTTAACAGCCATCATATACAAAGAGCTCTCACAAATAAATGACAGAAAGTCGGCTATCCTACGGAAAGATAGGAAAAATGACTGTTATTCACAAAGAAAATGCAAATGGCTAAAATAACACATGAAACTTGCTTATGTCTAGTACTAGTACTCAGGGAGGTTCGAATCACAGCCATGCAGTGTTGGTGGTCACGCATCAGATTAGCAAAAGCTTGAAATAGTGACAGCATCCGGTGTTGGCAAGGGTGTGAGGACCATTCTGGGGTGGGGAGGAATCTCAAAACTTAAAGTGTGCATATCATTGACCCAGAAATTCTGCTTCTAGGTGTCAGTTTTACAGAAACGCTTGTGTGTTGGCCGCATCCTCACACACACACGATGCTCACCATGGCTTTTCACAGGGCCTCGCTTGCCCTCAGCTGAAATGCCAGCAAATGGAAGAGTGTTTCTAGGAGTTATGGCTCATCCTGTCTCTGGAGCATATGCAGTTTTTAACAAGGACAAGCAGACTCCATTCCCTATCCCCTTGCCACGAAGGAGCCATCCCGGGAAGCAGCCTTCCGAATTAGAACTTCAGGCGCGTCGCGATGCCATTATGTAAAATAGCCTCGGGCGTGTTTGCGCAGCCTGAGCGCCTGACAACGGATTGGTCAGCCATGGACCCGCCAATCCCCACCCAGGCTTTATGGTTGCTACGCTCTGCCCTGCGCCGGGTGCACGTCGCGAGAAAACAGCTACTCAAAGCCACACCGCAAAGACCCAGGCACAGACACCCACGGGAACTCCCAACCGGCCAGTGCACGACCCGGAACAGGTCAGGTCAGGGCGGGCCGTGGGCCGCGGGGGATCTTGGAGCCCCCGGCTAGACGCCGCGCCTGTCTCTCCTCCGGCCCCGGCCCCTGTCCAGGGCAGAGCGCATCGGAACCTTCCGGGGCCCCGACGTTTGCAGAGAGAGGTCCTCCGAGATCCGGGTGGAACCCCCAGAAACCTCCCTCTCTGCCACACCCCACCCCGTGCTCGCCACCGCCTGCGTCGGAGCGCCCCCGCCTGGCACTCTTCCCAGCTCTGGACACAGAAAATTCCCCCTCATGCCTGCTCAAACCCTCCTCCTCCTGGGCGCCCGCCGGCCCCCTCTGGGGCTGCGGCCTTTGCGGCTGGACGCTGGACGTCTTTGCCTGGAGCCTGCACCCCGAGTGCGAGTCCAGCCTCTCTCCGCGGGAGCCCAGGGAGACTCAGCCACAGTGCGCCTGGCGGGGGAGGCCCGGCAGCCCGGGGGGTGCTCCGAGCAGGGGCGAGGCAGCGTGGGGTGGGGCCGGCAGGGACCCCCACCCGTCTTGCTGGCTGAGCGGGTCCCCCATGTGGCAGCCTGGCAGGGCCTGGCAGTAGGGGGCTCCAGGACCTCAAGAGCTGGGTCCCCCTTCATGAAGCGGACCCGAGGGAGGTCCCCTCAGGAGAAGCCACTGCAGCAGGACTTCACGCACATGATCGTCACCAATGTTACCCGAGAGCTCATCACACTGGTGGCGTCCGCACCCTCTGGCCCCACTAAGCCAGCCAGACAGACACACAGCGTGCGCCAGGCAGGCGTGGCTCAGGACAAGTCCCAGAGCAGCCCTGTTGCCAGAAGCTGGGCTGGCTGTCTTGACACGCTGGTCAGCGGGCTGTCACCCTGGGGACTGCAGGGCTCAGTGGTCAGGGTTGAGTCCGGGGAGCTGCGGGGACAGGATCCGGGCTGCTGAGGGCTCGGACCAGGCTGTGTTCTGGGCGGCAGAGGCTGCAGGGAGGAAGGGCCTCCAACCCCTGGTCCTCTGAGCACCTGGGACCCGGGAGGGCGTGTGGGCAGGGGTCAACCCGGAGCAGCCTCCTGCAGGTTTCCGCCCCCCTTCCGCACGAGCGTGCGTTTGGAGGAGAGGTGTGTCCGTGAAGAAGCTGGGACTCTGAGGTTTCTCATGCCCCAGATTCTGGGATTCCAGGAGGAAATCTTTTCTGCAAAAATACTTTGGTGTTTCTGAGAAGGGCCGCGGAGGTGCAGAAAGCCACAGGACCAGGTCAGCGCGCCAGGCAACAGCTCATGGGCACCCATTGTTCCTGTCTGTGAGCACCATTCCAGCCTCCGGAAGTTGCCCTTTATGGTCCTGGGCTCATTCCACCCCACTCTTGGCCTCAGACCCTGCCCTGGCTCCAGGGATGGGCGTGCAACCCAAGCCTGGCGACTGCTGGCTCCCAGGGTTAGTACAGGGATGTCACGCAGCTCAGGATGGCTGAGGGCAGCAGCTCTCAGGCCTTGTGGGGAAAAGGATGCACTGTGTCTGCTAGAGGAGGCAGCCTGAGTGGCCACTGGCCACATGGCCACCTCTCAGGAAAAGCCTGCCTGGGAATGAAACCTCAGAGTTGAGCAACTGTGGGAGCACCTGGATCCAGCCTTGCCTGAAGCTGAATCGCCTTGAACTCCTCAGATCCATGAGCAAGACCTTCCACATCTGCCTCCCACTGGCTGCCACTTGCCACCATCCCTGCAGGAGGGCGGCCCCAGAGCTCTTGCTGGGTTAGCCTCTTCTAGGTGCTGCTCCCTCCCCAAAGGCACTGTTTGTCCCTCACTCACAGCCCATCTCACGTGCAGTGACACATGTGCCCTGCCCTACATCACTGTATGAGTATCACCCCATCGTGGGCTCTCCAAGGGTGAGGCCACATGGGACACACCCTGACTGGCAGGCCCGCGGGTACCTGAGGTCAGCTGCCTCCTTGGCCACGAGCTGGCCCTGCCTCTCCACGGCATCCTGCCTGGCCAGCAGCTGGGCCCGCTCTGCAGACAAAGCATCCTTCTCCTGCAGGGCTCGCTGCAGAGTGTCCAGCTGGGTCTCCTGGTCCTGCAGGCTCTGCGCCAGCTGCTCCTCCAGGGCCCGTTTCTTGCGTGTGAGCTGAGGGAGGAAGGAAGGGAAAGTCCCGCGGAGGAAGACTGAGCGGGAGGGTGAATGGGGCCTCCTGAAGGCAAGCAAGGACTTGGGCAGAAGACGCTTCGTGCAGAATGGCACTGGGTGGACGCCAGGCGTGCTGGACCTCAGAAGCGTGTGTGTCTTTACAAAAGAAGGGACGTCCGCTCCTGTACCCGCGAAGGAGATGGTGTTGAACTCGGCACTCCCAGAGAGGAGCCAACTGCTGGTGTAAATGGCAACACTTGTCGGACCGCAAGTGTCCAGGGGGCAGGAAGCATGGCATGGAAGTGGCAGCCGAAGGTAACAGACGACCAGATCGTTGCAGACAACACTTCCAAGAACATCACGAAAATCTAGACAAATATGTCACAGGAGCTCGAGGCCTCAGAGAGCTGCAAAGGCAGCTGGGACTGAAGGAGACAGACCTTGGAGAGGAGGGGACACAGGGGCAGGAGCCCGCAACTGTGTCTCCTCTCTCCTCAAAGCGTGTGCCGATCTCCAGTCTGGGCCGAGAAGCCGAGATGCCAAGGAGAGCTTCTGGCAGCACCAGGGCCTTTAGGAGCACAAACACTGGAGGTCAGAGCCACCAGAGCAGAGCGGCTCCGATAAACACCCCAAGTTTCGAGTTTTATTCAGAGAAGGGCGTGGCCCTAGCAGGAGTGATGGATCAGGAATAGATAACTCCTCATAAAAACTGAAGCTCAGGCGCGAACCGTCCCAGTCACCGACTGGATTACGGGCACGGCCCGACCTTCACTGCTTCCCAGAAGCAAAAGCAAATCCTCTCTGGAAGAAGTTGAGCAACACAAAGATCCTCGGATAATTTCTATAATTTTTTTTTTTTTTTTTTGACAGAGTCTTGTTCTGTTACCCTGGACTGAGTGCAGTGGCATGTCAGCCTAGCTCACAGCAACCTCAAACTCCTGGGCATAAGCGATCCTCCTGCCTCAGCCTCCCGTGTAGCTGGGACCACAGGCGTGCGCCACCATGTCCGGCTAATTTTTTCTATATATTTTTAGTTGTCTGATTAATTTCTTTCTATTTTTAGTAGAGACGGGGTCTCGCTCTTGCTCAGGCTGGTTTCGAACTCCTGAGCTCAAACAATCCGCCCGCCTCGGCCTCCCAGAGTGCTAGGATTACAGGCGTGAGCCACCGTGCCCGGCCTATAATTTTTATATATGATACTTGGCATTTAAACAACATGACCAGGCATATCAAGGGGTGAAACCACACGACAAGAAAACCACATGTAGAAAATAGACATAGATCCCACCCCCAGCTACGCGGAGATCGGAGTTATCAGACACGGACTGAAACAGCTGATCGGTTCGCTCAAGAAGATGGATGGCAAGAGCTGGATACTAGATATAAATAACATAATTTAAAAATACAAGAACCAAAAGAAATAAATTACCGGATGGGATCAATGGCAGAGGAGACAGAGGACTGCTGATCTGGAAGACGACAGAAAGACGTGCTCATACTGAATCATGGAGGAAAAAAGGTCGGAAAACACAGAGAAGAATGTCATGGACACCTCGGCAAGGTAAAAAGGTCTGTCGTGTACAAAGAGGGTCTCAGAAGGGGAGCAGAGAGAATATTTGAACAGATAGATGCCAAGAACTTCCCAAATCTAATAAAATGCCTAAAGCTATAGATTGAACAAGAACCATAATCCCCCAGGAGGATAAATAAAAAAGAAAACGTCATTTAGATACATCTTAGTAAAGTTTCTGGATACCAAAGCTAAAGAAACGTACCTTTAAAACTCAGAGGAAAAAATGCATATTACCTTCAAATGAGCAGCAGTAAGACTGACACTTGCAAGCAGCAGCAATGAAAGCCAGAAGGGAATGGACTGACTTTATCGATTGCTGAAAGAAAATAATTGCTATCCTGGTATTCTACACCCCGTGAAAATGTCTTTGAAAGTTAAAGACCAGGACTTTCGGCTTCTGATAATGGTGAAGTAGAGTGTTGAAGACCAACCCTCCTACCTAGAGCAACTAGGAAAGCCGTGCAATATACTACCCGATACTCTGCTTGAAGGCATCGGAGAGATACCAAGGCACTCAGGTCCCAGGGGCTAGATTACAGAGGAATGTATTGAAGCTAGTCTGAAATTCTACAGCAGAGTTCGCCCTTAAAGCGTTTGCCAAGTCCTAAGTGGCACAGGGCCTAGATCCCAGGAACCAAGGATAAAGCTTTAGCTAGAAGGCTGGGAACCTGGCCCAAGGTTTCAGCAGGATTACGAGACTGAGGAGACATAACTTGGAGTCCAGAGCTTTCCAAGCAGCCAGGGCACGAGATACGAAGCTGTTAGAGAGGAAGGAAACGCCCTGAGGTGAGCCTGAGATTCTATATTGGGCTTCCTAATGGTGCTGCTTTTTTACATATATTTTTATAATTCATGAGCAGTATAGGGTCAAGGGACTAAGAATCTGAACACAAATTGGCAGCTAAGAGTCTGAGATATCGGGTAGAATTTTTGGCAGTCTTAAAGAACTGAGAAAACAAAACCTGGCGTTTAGGGCTAACCAAGGAGTAGGGGCCCTGGCGCACAGCCAAGACTTCCTGTTAGAAACATGGGAGAATTATATCATACCCAGGGGTAAGTCAGAAATAGACCACTCTGCACAAAAGACTGAAGCACACTTAGGAACCAGCCAAGTCTCAGACTGGATACATGTGGTCTGTTCCTACTCTGATTTCCCGAAGTCAAAAGTAAATTCCCTCTGAAGGACATTTGTTTCATTCAGAATCTCAAATTATCTCTATCAATTATATTTACAAAAACACAAAGTCTGTCATTCAGTCAAAAATTATTAAGTACTCCAGGAGACGAGACCAAATGACTGAAAACAAAGAGATCACAGACAACATAAATAGACCCATTAGGGGATCCGGTTATCAAAGACATGAAAAATATTGTAATAAATGTGTTCAGGAACATACCCAGGAAGGTAGGGAATTTCACCAGGTAACTGAAATGTGTGTGTGAGTATAAGTGTGTGTGTGTGTGTGTGTGTGTGTGTGTGTGTGTGTCAGAGAGAGAGAGGAAGAGAGAGGTTAAAATGACCACTTACAAACCAGAAATATTAATAACATGTTGTAGGGTTTATAACAACATATATAGAAATAAAATATTAATATGTAGCAAGAAGAGCAAAAAGGATG